GACACACAGCGTCATGGTTAACGAGCACGTTGTTATAACAAAAAGTATCATGAAACGGAAACAACTGATCACATCTTGCGCGTAGCTAAAAAAAAAAGAAAAAGAGATTACATATAATGACCATAAGCGCATTGCATATTTATTCCAAATGTAATCATTACCTTTTTAAACGTAATTCTTTCTCAATGCAAACAGCCAGCATGCGAAAATCCGTGCATCTCTGCACCTCCACGCCCAAACATTCGAATCTCGCTGCCGTGAACCAAATTAGAAGAGCTCCGAACACGCTTACACATACATGAGCGCAGCATTGATGGCAGACGATCATTTGATGCACACGTACCACAACGCTCATCGACGTGTGATTAACGTCAAACGGATATTCCGCGTAAATTACGTAAATAATTGGGGAGAACAGGGGTCCCCACAAGTAAATAATCGTCGTTATGTACACATACGCGATGTAAGTTCCGTACAAATGGCTTCGTCTAGCAATGTATATGCAAAAGATCTCTCTCTCGTGTTGTTGTGCCTCTCTGACGCAAGTAAAAAGCTCTTCGACTATGCGCTGCAATTCCCTCTTGAAACAAAGAATCCCAAAATACGAAAAACAATGAGAGACAGTGATTAGCGACTTACTTGCAGAGTGTCGTGCTTGCAAAAGCATATAAATGTTTGAATGATACATTGAATCTGGCATAGCGCATGGCCGATACACTTTGAAACAATCTCGATGTCATCCGATCGCAGATAAATGGCGTACAAACAAGGCAGTAGTAGCAAGGTGACGTTGACGATTGAAAAGATTTGCACCACTTTGTAGCCGAGAATTTGATATCTGCTGCTGTTCGGTGGAAGTGGCCAGCAGAAACTAAACGCCACGGAAAACCAGGTAATGCTGATTACTTTCTCTGGAGTCACTTGTTTCAACATAATTGAACTGCGTGAATCAAACGGAACGTGAAGTAAGCTCTAACTGGTGTGACAGCACCATATGTACCATCTGAATGGTACAATTTGAATAATTATAGACGTTATCGCGGCAAATTTAATAAATCATCACACAACAGTGAGTGGTTGTAGACTTCCGGTGTGCTTTTCACTGGACTTGCTGGCTAATCACTAATAATTACTGTTCCGTGCGTTGTACATAATGGAGCGCGCGCTATTAGACACGTGCAAAGAAACGCTATTAAGAATCGGGATCAATATTTAACAGATATTTTCTTGCAATACAGCGCAGATACATTATATTCTATGTTCAGTTTAGCGTGAAGCTCTGATGTGAAAAGGACTATATCTGTCGATACAAGATTGTTTTGAGGGCGAACCTTTATTATCAAACCATATGTTCGTAAGAATTGAATAAACACACGTGTATTGTATGTGTAACGTTCTCGGGTATGTCAATTATTATTAACATTTATGTAAGAAAGAGAAGAAAACAGACAACATGAACAGTTAAAAGTGACGCAATTGTTCACACAATATCAGAAAATGTATTCAATCAGTGCTCGATGTATGTTCTAAAAAAAATTAATATTATTATTATTATTATTACGACTAAAGTTTTAATTATTGCGCGCATTATATGTTGATGAGACGTGTTTTAGATTGATAGGAGTAATATGGATTTGCTATGCAATGCATAGCTGATATTTATGCAGGCAGTGTATGACGAAAGCTTTTAAATGATCGTCGTATAGTAAGTGCAGTAGTAAAAGTACGTATTGAGTCAGCCGCATAGTAGAGAAAGAATACACATAATATATTTCCGAAAAAAAATATCTATAATAAAACATACTCTGTGTGTGTGTATGTGTGTGTGTGTGTGTGTGTGTGTATTTCTTTCAATCTTTTTCTGTATTTTCGAATCCTCTTTAATCGAATCGTGAAGAGATAATGAAAGTATCCTGCCAAAAGCATACAAAAGTCTGCCAAAGCATGAAGTAACACTAATAAAAAAAAGGAAGAGGGCAAACGTAATAATTTATGCGAGAAAAAGAATAAATATGTTAAACAGATTAACACTTTGCTTTCGTAATATACTCTGATAGATCTGCACTTAATCCTTTGAGTATTCAGTCTCTATTAGATTATCGTACGGATGATCGTACATTTACTTATTACAGATTCAGAGAGGATATTAAAGATTATGAAAGGATTTTACATATTTGAATAAAAATATATACTGTTTAAATATGTATTAAACTTTTTGATTTTTAATAATTTTAAACACCAAAAGGATTAACTCGAAGAAATCTGGGAAAAATAAGAATGTTTGCTATTTTTTAATCAAAGTAAAAATACGCTTGGTAAATCTCATGGTCACATATCAATCATATCGTTAATAAGAAATCTAAACATTAGATTTTCTAATAAAAAAACGTTGTTTAGTGATACTACATGAATGCGCAAAGAATTAACAGTGCAAGAGATATAAAGGTGAAGAATTCCGTAAGTTTATGTCATTTATCTATGCTAATATCAATATCTATATCAAATATCTATATCAAATATCTATATCAATATAATATAATATAATATAATATCAGTATCAATATCTATGTTAATATCTATGTTAATATCAATAAAATCGTAAAATTTAATTAATTAATCACCGTATTGACATTAGCAAGATACAAAGGTGAGCAAAATAAAACGAGTTATATAATTCCATAATTATAGATGTTTTTATTCAGAGATGACCTAATTAACTTTTTATAATTATAGTTACAAATTTCACTTACTGTGTTCAATAGAATCCCAGATCCAGCCAGGATACACGTTGATATTGCTAAAAAAAAAAAAGAAATATCACTTACAATAAAATTTGTAATTTAATTGCACCTATTTAACACTAGAATTATCAGGTTTAGTCAAAATGACTAAATTCTTCGAAATTTTGCAGGGAAATTTTATAAATTTATAATTTCATAGATATACTTAATTAAAATATTAAGCATTATCAACTCCTTTACACCCTGGGCGAAATTTCATTCGTAAATTTCTTAAAAGCAACTTTTTCATTTTTTTTTTAAAATTTCAATAAAAAAAACTGATTCTATAATACAGTAAAAACATTCTTAAAGATCTCATATTTTTACATTTATTTCTCATAAAATATATAAAGCTTATAATATATTATATTATAATATTATATATTATTATTACATTATTTTTTATTATATTTTCCCATTCCTTTATATTTGACTTGTCATTCTAGCATTAATTATCAGCAAATGTTATTGTCAACAATTATTATGTTATTGTTAATAATTATTATGAGATAGAATTTTTACCTCTTTAAATGCAGCTGTTTCTCAATGCAAGTGATCGAACACGCATATGCTGAGATGTCCTTGGCAGCAAATGGCAGTATGATGCAAGTATAGGATAAAATTTACCGGTATATAATCATCGCGAAACAGATATACCACACTTAGTGGGTGTGGAATTGGCAAAAGAAACTGTCCGATGACAGTAAAAATAATTGGTGTGTACACAGTTGCCACATAACCACATAACCACTATCTTTCGTATTCCTTCGTTGATGCAAGATATCACTTCTTCGATGATACGCTGTAACGTATTTTTCACACATCAAACACCTTCTTAATCCTTTAACAGGGATTAATTCGACTCATCTGTCCCTCATTTTTCCAACTGAATTGACACAATGGTAAAAAAATTAATATCTACAACGAAAAAGTAAGTTATTAGATCTGTAAGTCCATTTATTCGCAATAAATAGACTAAATTCCCATATTGAATTGCATGTAAAATTCTATCAACTATAAATCATGTGTAAACCAATTTTATATCGCGACCAATATTATTCTCTCTAGTTTTGTCTAACGTTGTGATAAAGTTAGATGATTCAGCCTATGTTAGAAAATATGCATTGAATGTTACATTCAAAATATAACACTTTAATTTAAAGGACGTATTAAACTGATACAATAATACATACAATTAATACAATAATAATCAGAGAAAAATTAACTTTAAATGAAGGAACAATACTTGAACATTCTACACAATCGCATGCAGTATTGTGTACGTTGTATTTATGAAAGAAAAAAAAAAAAAGCGATCCGAAACGTACTTTGAAAATCTGTACAAATTCAATTAAATTTCAAGAATTTAGAAAACATAATAATAAAATTAGAATACTGTTTTCGCAGTCGCAAATGGTTATTTCTAACATGTGTTTGTTGATTTATGGACAGGATTTTACATACATATGTCTGTGTATCTTTTTACCCACAATAATGTCAGAATCGTTTTGTAATCATTCCGTGTTCGAACGTATATCAATTAATTGTCACGGACGAATTGATAAATGGATACGCGATGTAACTTCCTTTAGAAGTAACGTAACAATTAGCAACTTCTCGCGGCACTATTACGTGCAGCTGTTAACTTACTATCGCTCGGCAATAATTATAAGTTGCATTATACATACACGTATTCACGTCAATACGCTGTATTAGACAGCTGCAAAGGGAAACTATTGCGTAACAGAAATTACATTTCATCAACACGTCATGCAAAAGCAGGGAGAGATCGTTCTTCGGTAAGGAACGTAGTATGTGTATATGGTATATCATACTGCACTTTGTAATCATGCAGTCAGTCTTACGTTAATCGTCTCGCGGACATTCGTGCGTACAGTGTGAGATGGACATAGTGCTCAGAACAGAACGTGTAGAATGAAACGTTTCTTTCGCGATTAGTAGTGTCATTTGGAAATACAGATATTTTCATAGAAGTGTCGTCTGTACCTTGAAAATGAAGAATCACGAAAGCTACATCTTCAAATGCAATTACGTACAATATCGTTTAAAGTGAGGCCGAGTACGAACGTGCAGTAATTGAACTTTAAATGACGAGAAATTTGCAGTTATTAAACGTTTCGTATATATTTATTTTTACTAATACAACAACGTTGATACTTTCCTAGTGTTATGGAGATTGTTTATTACTATCAAGGCTATCGCAATAAATATTTCTCATCGTGACTGCCGCAAGGAACATTTCATGGGTCCAGAAAGACAATTGGAATCACACCGAGTTATCCTCTAACGCGATACGCAAAGTCGTGAAAATAGAGAAAGCATTGGAAAGGTACTGAAATATTATCAAATTATTACGTACGAATATGTTACGTTTAACTTATAATTGGTATCATCGGGCATTAAGCGATAATAATTTAAGTTTCAGACTTTTCAGACCAACCTTGCGTAAAAATCCGCAGTCCAATAATTATAAAATATTTATATTTCTGTCATTGTATTTTAATCATTATTAGATGTTACTTAGTACGACATTTAGAAATGTAAATACTAATTTGAAAGTAGATATCAATGAAAATTTTGAGCATAGCATCGCTATTTATATTTATAGTCGGCTGTTCACGGATTAATTTTGGAATTTTCAATTTCATTATTAATCTCTGTGCGAAAGACTAAAAAATACAAACTTATATTATGTGCAAAAAATTTTGCTGATCTAGTATAAATTACTCGATCGATAGCCCAACGATGCCATTTCAGGATTAAATAATCGACAATCGATATAGAAACATTGACTTACCGAACAATAGTATGGCAACGAAAACTCTGGCACTACACAATTGATCGAAAAAATGACCGGTTCTTGATATACTAACACGTTCAGTAAACACTTCTGCATTTCTAACGTCGTTTCGTACCATTTCCCGTTGTACCCACTTCGCGAAACCCTCTCGCTCTGAAAATTGCAGAAGATATTATTGATAAATCAATATAGAAAAATCATGCATAAAGAAAACATGATTTACCATATTTTTAACGTGATCGGCTGGCCAAGCGAACAAGTACATTTCCACGAGTCCTGTCATACATATGGTTACGAATTGCATCTTCACAGTCACTGACAGATTCTGTTTGCGTAAATTATACTATGAACTTGTTATAGTGAATTATGACAGAAGAAATGAACGATTTGAACATTAAAACAATTTTGTAAAAAAAAATATTGAAGATATTGAAATGCATTCATAAAAGTATTTTCATTTCTTTTTTTTTTTTTAAGTTTCGTTCAGTGCATTCGCTTTTTCCCATAAAAAGTATGAGTCAAAATAAAAAATTAAAAAATTTTTAAATATAACTTTATAAGTACAATAAAACGAGACAAGTGCAAAATCTAATACCCAATTTTTTATTGCAAGTCAAACTTAACTACTACAGTATAACTAATAATATTGACTAATAATCGGATTTTGTAATTCTAACGACTCTAATGTTAAATAAAGTTTATATCAAAAAAATCGAAATGAAAGATAAAGGAAAAATTTAAACCGTGTTCATTTTACCACCAAGTTCAAAGTGCATCTCAATATCTTGAAAAGTTAATTTTCTAATAAAAGTTTGAACTGCCTATGTTATTCCCAAGAAATACCCGTAACTTACCATAAGAAATATAATGCCACAAAGAGTTAACGAGGACGTGCTTACTATTATAGCGTAAAATACCACAAAACGGAAGCAGCTGATCACATCTTCCGCGTATCTGAAGGAAAATAGAGATTCATATCTAACAAGAATGCAATCGTTTACATGTAAAATATATTCATACCTCGTCAAATACAACTGTTTCTTGATACAAACTATCAGCATATCAATATTCGTACTCTTTTCGAACTCCATAGCCAGACATTCGAATCTCGCGACCGTGAAGAAAAGTAGAAGCGCTGCAAACAAGCTTATGCATGTATGTCCAGCACATTGAAAGCAAATGAAAGCTTGATGAAAATATAAGATAACATACACTGGTGTATAATTAAAACTGAATGGATATTCCGCGTCCAATGGAAATGGAACTGGCACGACCAAAGGTCCCAGCAGAAAAGCAATCAGTGTTGTATACACGACGACCATATATCCGCCATAAAACCTATTATATTTGTCTATGTACGAGCAGAAAATATCCCTTTCATATTGCTGCGCTTGTTTGACATAAGTCATAAGTTCGTCGACTACATGCTGCAAATAATCAAAGCACATACAATGACTTGGATATTTGTAGAAAATTTTTGTAGAGTACACTGCAGATGTTTGTGCAAATTCACACTTTTAAGAACATAACTTCACCCTCCTTTTATTCTTCAAGCTTCATTTGTTCCTTGGTGTCAAGTGTCAAGAATTACCAAAATGAAAAAATAATTAGTTAAATTTGCAAATTCTTTTACCGACAAGAAATAGACTAAATTTCTATTCTAGATATAGATATTCATTATCATGTAATTTTGTCAAATTGGCGCAAAGGATGATATTCGTAAGATTTGAAACAAATTATAAAGTACATCTCCGGTGAATGATTCGAAGGATATTAAGATTTCAATAAAGGAATAATAATTTCCTCAAGTACGTAAAAGCATAAAATTGCACCAACACATTCACGATAATACAATCATGACATGCCACAGTAAAGACCTAATCTAATTACATTTCAATAACATTCACAAATATTGTAATATTCCTAAACAATTCCTACAAGTACTAAACACTATCGGGAACTGTTGTATGTAATCTCTAAGCAGAAACTTACTTGCAGAGTCTCGTACTTCACTAAACAGATGACTGTTTGCATGACAAACTGACTCACACACATCGTCAAACACACGCACTTAGAAGTGAGGATCAGATCGCCAAAGTGCACGTACGCCCCGTACATCAAGAGCAAAACTAACACGAAACCGCTGATAGTGGCAACGACTAATACGATTTTCATAAAAAGAATTCGGCCTCTGCTGCT